TCGGCAAGATTTTAAGACAATGTATGGAGAAATGGAACGTACAACGAGAGATGAAAGTGGCCACTTCGGGAAGTAAGTAAACTTGCTTCTAATTAGCCATTTTTAACCCAGATGCGAAGGTTACACAGCACTTAACATGATTCGAGTCGGGCAACGAAGACCCGTAAGCTCATAATCGATATATTTGAACAAGTTTCCTTATCTCCATACATTTCCTTGTACGAATTCGCAGCCATTATTAAGGGTTCCCACAGTCATTGGTTTTCAAAACTCCCGGAGTTTTCTCAATGAAAGAGTAAAATTTCTCCTTAACAAACCAATACTGTGCATGGCACAGCACATCTTTTTACCAAAAGAAACATTAAACATCACATTTTAACTTCTTTATAGTATCACATTCCTGAATCCATATAACAGCTCTGAGAAATGAGAAATGATTGCTTTCTGCAAACAAAAATACAAAGTTTTTTAAACTCGAAATGACAAAAAAAAAAAACCTTACTTCAGATATCAGAAGTGCAGTAAATTGTTGTTATTTACTACCACTACATGTAAACCCTTGCAAGTGCAGTCCTTGCAAATTGCCTGCATGCCCCATCTTGGGAGGGGGGGGGGACACTTGTGTTCATTTAACTGTAAGTACACTGCCTCTTTGAAGGGCTGTGCAGTAACAGCGATGCGGAAAATTTCATGATAGTACAAGAAACTTACAGCAACTGTGGATCCATTCTTCCCCTTTCCACCTGTATATATTTGAAGAAATATTTATGAAAGATTGTAAATTGTTCCACACATAGTACCCCCAAAGATAACATCCTTGTATATGACACTGAAGTAAGGAACCTGGCCATAATCAAGAATCAGGATACATACCATTTACTTCTTTATTCCAACAAAGTGTGGACAAAAAAGACTTTAAGTAAGTATATGTAGTACAAAAAGGGGAAATACTGGCTGAAAAAGCCATTGATTTTCCTCCAGGGCAATCAGCTTCACTTTCTCACTGTTCACCAGGCAAATCCCTGAACAAGTCACTTTTCAACTCAGTCCCAAAGAGGAGGCCAGATTTCTTGTTGTAGACACCTGTTCCTTATCATGTCTGAACATTACTTTCTAACAAATGCATACATCAACCATTTCACTTCCAAGATCTCAAGAGTAAACCCCCTTACTGTGGTGGAATAGTCATGTTAACTACATATATAAAAAAGCTTGCAAGAAGCTCTACTCTCTACGTATTCTACGTCGAGCTGGCGTTGACCAAGGTAGCATGTTAAAGGTCTATACAAGCGCTGTTAGATCTATTGTAGAGTACGCCGTACCAGTATGGCAATCCATTCCAGGTTATCTGTCTGACAAAATTGAATCAATACAGAAAAGGGTGCTTAAGATAGTTTTCCCATGTGCCGATAGTTACTCAGATGCCCTCAAGTTAGTTCAGGCCTGAAATTTTTTTCAGGTCTGATTTTCACTATTGCTCAAATAGTGCTTTACTGCGAAGGATTGTGCATATATACGTTTCATAACCGCAGTTCATACATATGTTTCATATGTTTGTTGTTGTTTGATTTATCATCTACGGGTTTATGTCGAATTAATTTGATGGCCTGCTCCCAGTTGGCTTGTTAGCTCAATTGGTAGAGCGCTGCACTAGTATCGCAGAGGTCAGTGGTTCGAATCCCGTACAGGCCTGAAATTTTTTTCAGGTCTGATTTTCACTATTGCTCAAATAGTGCTTTACTGCGAAGGATCGTGCATATATACGTTTCATAACCGCAGTTCATACATATGTTTCATATGTTTGTTGTTGTTTGATTTATCATCTACGGGTTTATGTCGAATTAATTTGATGGCCTGCTCCCAGTTGGCTTGTTAGCTCAATTGGTAGAGCGCTGCACTAGTATCGCAGAGGTCAGTGGTTCGAATCCCGTACAGGCCTGAA